CCAACCCAGGCCGAAATTCCAGAGAATTTAATTTGTTAGCACTGTATTTTACCCTGTAACGTTCTACGACACCCTAAAACCTGTACATGGGGGGTACTGTTTTACTCGGGAGACTTCGCTGAACACAAATATTAGTGATTCAAAACAGTAAAACATATCACAGTGATGATATTGTCAGTGAAAGTTACTTTTTTGCATTTTTCACACACAAACAGCACTTTTACTGATGATATAATTGTTGTGATACGTTTTCCAGTTTTTAAACACTAATATTTGTGTTCAGCGATGTCTCCTGAGTAAAACAGTACCCCCCATGTACAGGTTTTATAGCATTTTTGAAAGTTACAAGGTCAAATATATGGGTCAAATATTTTTACATTGAAAATGGCCAGGTTGGTTACGTTGCCTTTGAGAGCGTATGGTAGCCCAGGAATGAGAATTACCCCATGATGGCATACCATTTGCAAAAGAAGACAACCCAAGGTATTGCAAATGGGGTATGTCCAGTCTTTTTAGTAACCACTTGGTCACAAACACTGGCCAAAATTAGCGTTCAATTTAGTTTTTTTACTTTTTTCACACACAAACAAATATGAATGCTTACTTTGGCCAGTGTTTTCGACTAAGTGGCTACTAAAAAAGACTGGACATACCCCATATTGAATACCCTGGGTTGTCTACTTTAAAAAAAATATGTACATGTGGGTGTTATTCAGAGATTTATGACAGATAATAGTGTTACAATGTCACTATTGATAAATTTAAAAAATTTATGTTTTGAAACCGCAATATTCTACTTGTACCTATAGCCCTATAACATGCAAAAAAAAAGCAAAAAAGCATGTAAACACGGGGTATTTTTAAACTCAGGACAAAATTTTGAATCTATTTAGCAGTTTTTTTAATTCGCTTTTGTAGATGAGTAAAAGATTTTTCAAGTAAAAGTCAAAAAACATATTTTTTTATTTTTTTAAAATTAAAATACATGAGATTATATAAATAATGGTATGTAAAGAAAGCCCCTTTTGTCCTGAAAAAAACAATATATAATTTGTATGGGAACAGTAGATGAGAGAGCGGAAAATTCCAGCCAAACACAAACACCACAAAAGTGTAAAAATATGCCTGGTCGCAAATGTACAACATCGCAAAAACAGTCCAGTCCTTAAGGGGTTAATGTGTTTTTGTGTATATGTGTGTTTATGAATGTGTATGTGTGTGCATTTAAATGTTCATGTATGTGCATAAATTATATACCATACCCATAAATGGGGGTTGGAGATGCAAGGTCGCACACCAAAAAAAAAACATTTTGGCATACAGCATACAGCGCAACTGGGTGCCAAGGTACACCTAAAAGGTATACGATGTATATAATATATATTCTCTCAATAAACAATTGTGTAGTATATATAAAACAAAAAAATTTGTTGTGATGATCTGCTTCGTGTCTTAATTTGACAAATAAATATCATATTATTTATTTTACTTATTTTGAAATTCACACTTTAAAAAACTTTGCAACATATAATTATCACAACAAATTTTCTTCTACATTTTTAATTATATTCTTAAAAATAATAAATGCATTCTTTGCATACTGATGTTAATAACTGGTTGTCAAAAGAACATTGCAATTGAATTCTCTTTTATTTATGCAAGTCTCTTTCCAATGCTACTTGCTATAATTCTTTAACCCCTTAAGGACCAAACTTCTGGAATAAACAGGAATCATGACATGTCACACATGTCATGTGTCCTTAAGGGGTTAAAACTTATAATTCAGCATGGATACCCATTATTCACTCCAAGAAGTAATTTTAGGTCCGTTCAAAATATCTGCCTGCTTTTGCCCATGTTGCATACATATATTGCATTCTTTACTAATAGCAGAGTATGTGAAAAAGCATATTGTACACAGGTATGTAAATGTGTATATTTATGAAATGTAGCTTCTATTAGTTAAACACATTTGGGAAAAAGCATCACTAAATCTATTTCAAGTCAACATGTTAGGACTGATAGTAAAACAGTCAAGTTTACAAAACAATCTAAAACAAAATCTGATTTCATACATTTTTGATACTATCTGCTTTTTTTAATTTAATTAAATATGTACTCAGCACTCTAATTATATAGTTACACAGTTACATAGTAAGATTGAAAAAAATACTAAATTTCATTAAGATCAACATTTAAAACCTATCCCTTTACGCTGTTGATCCAAAAGAAGGCAAAGGAACTTCAATTGTAGTGATTTAGTGATTTCCAATTATGCCACAAAAAGGGAAATATTCCTCTTGACACCATAATGGCAATTAGATTGCTTCTTGGTTCAACGACCTGTAAACATACATATTAAAGGAACACTATAGGGTCAGAAACACAAACATGTATTCATGACCCCATAGTGTTATAACCACCATCTAGCCCTCCTAACCCCCTCACCTTTGCTTCCCTAAATATAGTAATCTTACTTGTATTCAAGTCTGCAGCTGCTGGCTCTGTCCCAGGCTGCATCTGACCTGCCTGCTGTCTGTTGACATCATCAGAAGTGTTGTTGTGAGCCCATCACAATGCTTCCCCATAGGCTGAGACTGTCAAGAAGGCAAATCAGGGTAATGATTCTACACAGGTAATAAATGAAAATCTACTCAGGTAATACATGAAAATGCAGGTAATGATTCTACTCACCAGAGCAAATACAATAAACTGTTGTCCCTTTAACTATATCCTTGAATATTCTATTTTTGCAAAATATGCATTCAAGGCTATATTGTGGTGCTCTGACCTCAGAGAAGCAATTTAATTTTTGAAGTCTACCCCTTCCATCAAACCTCAATATTGAGTAATCCAGAGTCCAGTGGTTGCATGACTGTGCTGAAACTGCACCAAGGCTGCAAATTGTCTCTCAGATTGCAAAGCGTCTCAGGGAGTCAGCACTATACTTCACACACACGAGACCGTCAGTGCACTTCCCCCTTCTTCTTCTACTTTACTCAGAACACAATATTTATAATATTGTAGCAAGCTCTAACATTGTCCAACTACCTGTGATTTCTCTAAAGAGTTACCTAATCCCCTGTAAGCATCTTTAAAGGATTGTCTTTACAGCAGTTTGTATTAGCTGAATATATTTGTATAATGCTATCCTATTCCTAAAGTTTATTAGAAGTTATTAAGTTATTTTTTTAAATTAAGAGTAAGATTTAATTAGTTACTTTAGTATAGGAGATTTTTTAATTTCCTTTCAATCTCAGCATCGGATTGGCAGCTTAAAATGGATTCATACATTTTTTTAGTTATTTTGAAAATTTTGATAATTTATTTGAGGAGTAACCTCAAATTAATGACAGTATAACAATAGAAAATAACAATTTAGAAGATTAATTAAACACTGGCACTGTTAGAAGTGAGTTTAAAATGGAAAATAGCAACCATTCAGAAATACTACAAGGAACAGATCACTCCACGAGGACTAAGGTTCTTAAAATACTTTCAATAAGGATGTTAATAATGATCATAATACATTTATTGTACAAAAAAAAAACAAGAATTGGAACTGCACTCAATCCATACCTCAAGCCTAGGAGGAATCAAACCTGGGGTCAGCACCAAAGCCCTTAAAGTAGTTTATAGTCACTGAGAAAAAAAAAGACCCATGCACTCCAAGGCTTAGATCGGCATTCTATTGAACTACAGTGTCCAGCAACAATGTTTCAACCCTAGGATCTCTTTCAAGCAACTTTCAAATTTGAAAAAACCCTAGGGCTGAAACATTGCTGCTGGACACTGTAGTTCAATAAAATGCCAATCTAAGCCTTGGAGTTCCTGCATCTTTTTTTCTCAGTGACAATAAAGATTTGTTCCTTAGAATAAATAAAATGATTAGACAACAAAGAAACTTGATCCTAGAAAGATTAGATAGAGAAATTAGCAAAATTATAGGGAAATTAGAACCCTTCTTACATTTAAAATAATGCATTGAATTCTTCAAGGATATAACATGGAACATTGAGGAATTGAATACTCAGAGTAGTGCTACAAAGAAAAATATATAACAGAGAGACTAAAAGATTATTAGAGTGACCAAGGTAGGTCCTTCCATAAGAGTAAACAGAATGTGAGCCAATCCTATGTATCCCTCACATAGGTGAAGAGACGTAATGGAGTATGGACAACACATAATCAGAAAGAGCAAAAGGAGGTCCATTAACAACCTTAATTTGAAGACACTTCAATAAGGAGGAAAGAAAAAAAGAGAAGAGTGGATGAAGGTCTCTGAGAAAAGAACTGGGAGTAGGATGAGAAATTAGAAGAATAGACATGACCAAAGGGGAAGAAGGGAATTTATAAGAGCAGGAACAGACAGAGAATGATCATGTTGATATGAAGAACAGATACAAAATATTATGAAGAATTGATCAAGTGGAATATTTTTTAGGAAAAGATCTCAACTAGACAAGACCTCCCAGGCCCAAAAGAGTAAGACATTCATGAGAAAGCGTTGAAGAAGTGGAGGTTATAGAACCCAGAGAAAAAAAAAGAGAAACAGGACATCGAACCCATAAGCATCTTCAACCTGGCAGATATAGAGCTAACTAAGGACCAGATTACATAACTCATTAAAAGTTTTAATTTTACTTTAAGTAATGCAATTAGAGTGTGCAAGACATACAAGATGTAGGTAGTGGGTGCGAAGGAGGTTATATAATAGATAGTGTAGTCTCAGTGTACTAATGAGTAGAATAGATCATTATGTCTTTGATTGTAAATAAAAACAAACCAAACATGAGAGCAATTCGTTGACATCTTTGGGCATGAGAGTGGTAGGCCTTAATGTGCCTCCTAGCCAATGCCCATGGGTGGAGAGTCCCAGCATCCCTTGTTGTCTGCCCTCGTAGTTAGGCTCCCCCATGGTGCCCAAATCCACAGAGAGTCTGCTGCAGTCATCCCCGGTACAAGGACCAGGTCTGTAGTCGGAGGCCGGAGCTGCAGCGTTATGTGTCTGCTCCCCCGATAATGTGGGGTTGGGGTCTTCTGCTCCTGCCGATATACTGACCATCCGAGGGTGTGAGAGGTGTGTGGGGAACTTTCCCTGGCTGGGTCTTGGCCCCAAAGGATAGTGGTTCGCTGTAGGATCTGGTCTCCGGCGCCTGTGTTGTTTCTTCCGTTTCTTCACGAGCTTCTACCAGCGGGCCACGGCCCATGGGTTTTGCGTCGTGGGTCAGGCTGACTGTCAGGGGCGGCTTCAAGACTTGCTGTGCGTTGCTGAATTCAAAGCCAGAATTGTGCCCAGTTTGTGTAAAGGGCCTTTGTGAGTCGGCCCTCCTGTGAGGTTGGAAGTTTTCCATCGGCAGCCATCTTAGCGCGGAGTGTGCAGGGAAGGATCTCCAAGGGAATCACCACAGGTAGCAAAGATGAGTGTGTTAACCCTCCAGTGGGGACCAGGTTGACCCCTGCCAGTCCAAAGGGGAGGGGGGTGGTAGGAGGACAGTGTGTCTACACTTTTGACCGGCGGTTGAGGGGAGTGGCTGCCCCTCCCCATCCCGATCTTGTGTAGGCTGCATGCCGTGCCCGGACATACTGCTACCAGCTGTCTGCAGATTCGGCTGAAAAGAATAGCCATGGGGTCTCATAAGTTGGTACAGGTTATGTCCATTTGGAGATAACAGCATTAGTCAGGTAAAATAGGCTTATATTTAGATACGTTCCCGGAGCTCAGTTAAGATGCGTCTGGCCATCTCCGCAGTCAGGTTCCACCCCCGTAATCGTTTATTATTTTACTGAAAATCCATACTCGCCGAACCAATCACGCAGAACGACCAATTTTTTGGGGGGATGGACTCCCTTTTTAGCAATCTATCCCTTTATAGAGATAGAATGCTTCAGCCATTTGTTGTCCATATATACTCCCATCTAAAATGTTAATACCATGTGCATCTGTATAGACCATATGAAAGATTGTCAGGTCTGTAGGAACATTCTGGAGGAATGGAGATCACTACCTCAGGATCAAATAAATGTTATAATCAAAGGCATATTATTAATTGTAAAAAATAATGTTTTTATATTTAAAGACCATTTGGGACAGCTATAGGGACGAAATTTGTACCCAGCTAGGCCAATTTGGTTATGCCCAGATGGGAAAATTAATATATATGGGAGAGCATGGCTGGAAAGCAAACCTGGTCACATACAAGAGGTTTAAAGATTATATGTTTTTTTTATATGGAAAGGACAGAAAAGGAGGTTTACAGATTATATGTTTTTTCTATATGGAAATTCTTAACTAGAACCTGACCACCAGTTGTCATTCATGGCTCTCCAATAGTAAACAAAATGTATGCCACTAAGAAGGCATTTTACTGAAATGACTAACTACCAAAAACAATCAAACAAACAAAGATTTTTAGAAAATAAATTTATCGTCACCAAATTGGAGAAATCATTAAGAAAGTAGAAAAGGTTTAAAGGAAAAATCTTTTGGAATATTGAGAGAAAGGATAGGAAATAAAATATAGGGATACCTATCATTCTAATTTATAACAATCAGGATGAACAAATTAAGCAGATTATTAGAGATGGATTGTTTAGATGATAAAAAAAAACTAATATAGTTCTTAGGAGTGTAAAAAGCCAATAACCGGATATTAAGAAATATATTTAAACCCTTGTCCCTCTAATTTAAGACCTCTTTGAGAGGACAATGTTGTCCTCTTGTTAAATATACTCTCCTCCTTTGCTGTGTTGATTTCCTTTATGCATTTAAATGTTTCCATTGCATACGCCCTAAATATGTTTATATTGCATAGAAATATTGCAGAATACAGAAATACTCTGATTAATATTGAAGATTGCACAGACACAGACTAATACACTCTACATATTAGGGGCAATATTGTATGCCCCTGCAGCAGGGGAGAGCATCTCCTCTAGTGGTGTACAGTGAAGGTCAGTACATGGTCATACTACTAAATTTGAAGCCTTTATTTGTTTGCAGAGATCGGTCTTGCAGTGCTAATAACTTCTAATAGGAAATTAAGTTATGTTGGTATTATTATACAATGCTTGCGCTAACTCATAATTTATCAAATATATTATCTATTCCAAGTGTTACTGGTAAATATCTTCCATAAACTGCTGTTATTAACAATAACCTCAAGGCTCTGTTTACTGGGAAAATCAACAGCTATGGCTTCAGATGATCTTTATGCTGACAACACTCAGATATACATAATATTGTAGAGCGCTACGGAATCTGTTGGCGCTATATAAATGGCAGTAATATTAATAATAATAATACAAATCAACCCCTGTTCTCTCTCCCTCTGTCCTTTTTCATATTAGCTGCTTACCTGGCATATCTTACTGGAAATGACCTCAGTCCACCTAAAAATCAATATGTCCAAGAATGAGCTCCTTCTATTCCCCCTTGATTTTTGAATTATCTGTCACTGTAGATGGCATCTCTATCTCCTCATCACCTCAAGTCTGCTGCCTCGGAGTTACATTTGACTTTAATTTGTCCTTTATTTTCCACATCGAATCACTTGCTTCACCTGCTGCAACCACCTACACAATATTTCCAAAAATAATTTGCTTCTCAGAGCTGACACTACTTAGCAACTTATTGACTCCTTTGTTATTTCTCAATAACCTCTGCAGTAACCTACTAACTTGCTATCTCCTCTTCCACCTTCAGTCCATCCTGAATGCCTCTGCTAGCCTAATCCACTTTACCCGTCACTCTGTATCTCCTGTGAGTCCTTTCACTGTCTCCCCATTCACTGCAGAATTAAAATCAAAATTCTCACCCTGACCTACAAAGCCCATGCTAACGCCACTGCCCACCACCTGTCCTCACTAATCATAAATATACTCCACCCACCCCTTAAGATCTTACAATGACTTGCTCCTTGCATCTTCTAATACCTCTTCCCATGCTTTAGTGCAGGACTTCTTTAAATCAGCACCAACCCTGTGGAACACATTTCTCCAAATACTCAAATTTTCCCAAAGTCTCCTTCCTTTAAACGCTCCCTAAAGACTTTTTTATTCAGGGAAACCTACTATTCAACTCAGCAACTGATGCATGTCACTTACCCAATACCAACCTTGCAGTCTCACCTCCTGTTTCTTATCCCTCCTATTGATCTTGATTGCAAGTTCCCTCCACTACTCCAGTGTTTGTTTGTGAAATTTCGTATTGTTTTTTTTACTTGCACCAATTATACCAGTGAACAGCACTGCAGATTGGCTATTTATGTAACAGATTTTAAACGCTTTGTTATTACACCTGAGATTTATAAAGGAACATACTTTATAGCAGTGCGGAATGATTTGGTACTTTATAAATAGAGTATAATAATGTTAAGCTGTATAATCATTTTGTTTTAAACAGTCAAATGACTTACACTTTATGATTACAGAGGAACAGTGGCAGAAAATGTTCACTAGTTAATAAGGCCATACCAAATAATATATGTGAAACGTATCTAGAACATTTTGCTATATTATCATTAGTAGTACTATTCATATACCTCCATCAAGTTCTGCATTGCCATACAATAGCTAACAGAATAGTAGGCACAACAGGACAAGTTGGGCATACAGGAACAGAAAATGCTGAGGGATGGAATATGGTGCTGTGTAGCCATCATACATTTCTACCTACTAGTTCTGTTACAATGCAATAAGGAACCTGGTGAACCTGTGTTCGATTCAGAAAGCCCAGGGAAAGGGCGGAATGCGTCTCGGAGTAAAGTAGCCTTCATTAGGACACCTATTTATTTTGTTTTTATACATTGTTTTATGTATTAATAAATATATCCAATTGGATTTTAAGTTCTACTGGCTGTCTGTTCCATCTACCTCCAGTAAAGAAGGGTTACCCAACTTTAGTGGGTAAAAGCTTTAATACCCAGAGCCAGGTACATTTGATTGGCTCTGGTTAAGGCGAGCAATATTTATTTGATTTATCTATTTCCACCTTGTACCTGATATACTACACTAGAGGCAATTCTTTCTGTGTTTCCTTTTGAGTTTATAAGAAAAAACTAGAAGAGGGAAAGGTGTCTCCTTAATACACCAAAGTGGTTCCGATTTGAGCCAATCCTTCACTTTTTTTTTTTTTTATACATATTCATCTATTTTAAATATTTTACATACCACACTATTAGATTTTTTTCTCAATTTTTCTCCCCATGTTCATATTGGACTGATTTTATCCTAAGTTATAAACTAAGGGTAAGTGTATTCTATTCAGTGCTCCACTCAGGATATTGGTGGTGGATTTCACCTTCCAACCTCCTTACCGCACAGTATTTATTTTTTTGGTGGACAGAAGAGATTTCCACGTCAGTGTTTGTACCGGCTTTTAGATTTACATTTCAGACACTTACTTTTTAAGCACCTACTTTTATGCACAGAGCACTTTTATATTTCTTTCACTGTCCACAATAAGTTATGGTTCAAATGGAATAGTTTCCTGTTGAATTATGATAAATTGAAAAGCAGCCACGTTTTAGGCATCTGCAACCCTAATGTACTTGTTTAAACCTACTTAAAATCTATATATACAAAGACAAACCAGCGTTGGCGCAGTGTAGCATACCATAATAACATAATCCGTGTACTGAATATAATAACCTACTCCACTGTGATGTGTTATTCAGATATTACTTTGCTGATTACACTGTTAAAACACTTTGTACTTGAGGGTATGTATGTTATGTTTGTACTGTTGTATCTCGCTACTGTAACAGGGATTTCATTTTTAATGTGTGGGGCAATAGCTTCTTGATCCAAGGAGATACCTGACTGCCATTCTGGAGTCAAGAAGTAATATTTTTCTTAGTTCTTTCCAAATTCCAATGATTCAGACTACATTTTCTGCCTTATTTTGGATCAACAGCAAAAACAGATGTGAGAAAGGCTGAACTTGATGGAGGCATTTATCTTTTCAGCTATGTAACTATGTAACAATTTTCCTTTCTAGCAGATGCTGTATTTCTTTCCTTTCCCTTAACCATACTCTGCTTAATTCATAAATACTCAATAAAACATTTAGAATTTAAAATGAAAATCTACATAATTATAAGGTGAAACTAAAGCAATACCAGGGTGTATGCATTAAACAGCAAAATGCAATCAATTGAAAAGTGAGCTATAGTTACAGCTTGGATCTTTTAGCCTGAATTTTGAAAATAGATTTTAAATTCACCACAATTTGCTGTTATGTAAATAAACTATTGACTGTGAAAATCATTCTTTGTAAACGTGTTTTGTAAATTCCTTAGTTTTCACACTAGATGGTGCTAATGAGTATATGTCTGTTTGGACGGCTGATACC